GCTTAGGGCTGGAGGGTTCTGGGAAATAAGGAGTGGCTGCTCATGGGTACGCTGTTTCGTTTTGGGGTGATGAAAATGCCCTAGGATGGACTATGCTGATGGTGGCATGACCCTGAATGTTCTGGAAACCATGAGAGTCTGTCCTTTAAATAGGTGGGTTGTATGTTCTGTGAATTTTATCTCCATAGAGCTCTTCTTAGGAAAATCTACACAGAACCTTCCCCCGGTTGTTATGTTTACAGACGTTCTTTTTATGTTTGGTGAAATACAGTAGGAAAGTAAGGCTTCAGGGAAGTATATCTGGTTATAAAGCTCTAAATGTAATCTCAAACTACAAAGTCTGTAATATTTTAACTACTTATCAACTTTGTATTGGACATTGTATTTATCACTTTAAGTTTTAAAAACAAGTAACTGACCAATCTTATTTTCATTAATTTTATACTGCATAAATATTCTGAGTCTTTGTTAAGCAGAGATGACATTTGATTTGACTCTCTGTGTAGCGAATCCACTTATTAGGATTTTTTACTTTGAGCAAATAACATAACATTTGTGCCCCAATTTCCCCATCTGTAAACTGAGGATAATAGTACTATCTACCCCATCTGGTTGCATCAACCAATTAGGCAAATATAAATAATTTGCTTTGAACTCTTATAGGTCATATAGCGAACTGACTACTTACCATCATCATTATAGAAAAAATTAAAATTGCCTTTAACACGGCAGATCTAAACACAATATCAATATTTCTTCTACATCCAGTATACAACAAAAATATTAATTTCTGCTTTACAGAAGCATTATTGTTTCCTCACATTACATGTGAAATTAAATAGCTAGAGTGATACTAGAAGAAAAAATCCAAAGTTTTCTCCTGCTTAGTTTGACTCTCTCTGACGTGAAGTTAAACAGAGGCTATTTATCCAAGGTTAAAAATTTCAGCAGAAGCATAGAGAATCCTTTAAACAGATTAGGTAATTTAGTTTTCCCAGACAGGATCTACTTCTTTGCATTCTAATGAAACCAATTAAGTTACTTGACTGTTACTGGAAAATGTCAATTATAATCTATTGAAAATAGTTGAGACTTGAGGGCACCGAAAAAAACAAAATAATTTATCCCAAAATACCCTGAATAATGTCTCTTAGTGAATAAACAATGGTACTAATTGAGCTGTTTGCTATCAAGGTCTATTGTCAAGCTGAGACTCTTCCGATGAATAAAATGTTTTCTTGGGATACCGGATAAAAAAGGTGAGGGATTAAGAAGTACAAATTGGTAGTTACAAAATAATCACAGGGATGTAAAGTACAGCATAGGAAATACAGTTAATTATATTGTAATAACTATGTGTGGTGCCAGGTGGGTACTGGAAATACAGAGGGGAACATTGTATAAAGTATGTGACTGTCTCACCACTATGCTGTACACCAGAACTAATACAAAATGACACTGAATGCAATCTGTAATTCAAAAAAAAATTAAAGTTCTTTTCAAAAAAAGATTTTCTTATATATATTTTTTAATTCATATACATTTGTGCTATGTGAAAGTTAGCATGACTAAGTTTAAAATATTCCTGTAGTTTACTGCATACCCTAGGAAGAAATACAGTTCAGTAAAATACTCACCCCGATTTGCTTTGGGAAAAATATCACCCCCAAATATAGATATAGGCTTACCATCCCTTGCCTTTTCCTATACTTTCTAAGCTTTATATATTGGCTGTTTATATAAAGTGAAAGTGGCAACCTTCTTGATACCTCAAAAAACTGATGGGTAGTTCCAGTATAATAACTTACAAATTTTGAGATTTATACCTAGTTTCATATTCACCATTCCATTTAGTCGGCACGATGACTCCACAAAGGAGGGTTGGCTGGGCTGCTCCCCAGGGTGTCAGTGTCACTATCTGCAGGCTGTACGCCACACAATGCCAGGGGGGCACTGTTTACAACAAAGTATAGTTGTCCTAGACTTTCATATTATTCCCACTTCCCAGCAGATGGCAGTATAGTATCGGGAGGAAGGGGCTCACTCTGTGCCCCTACCCAATTCCAACAAAAGCTTCATAGTGACTAATTTATCACCTTTCCCTTCATGAATGCGTCTCAGAGAAGTAAAGCAACTCACCTGACTTTCCTGATACCCAAGGCAGAAACACAGATTTCTTTTTCCCATTTCAGAACCAAATAAAGTAAATACCCATAGGTGGGAAAGCATAATTTACGTGCATAGATGAAACCTTGCAAGACAAAATCAGACTTTGGTCTGGGTATGCTGTTTTCAAAGGGTTCCTTTAATTCTAAGGAAGAAAATCTTAAAAGCTGCATATTCCTGGCGTAAGGTGTTGTGTCCCTTGCCTGTGCCCCTTGACATCTTCACAAACGTCCACGTTAACTAAGTGCGGGTGTGCAGTGTGAAGGCACACAGCTTTCCCTCAATGCAGTGCTTTGGACCCCGGCCAAAAGAAATCCTAAGAGAAAAGAGGACTAGGAAAATACATACTCTCACAAAGTATGCTAACGTTATAAGCTTGAGATATACAAAGCTGAGGGCTGCCTAATAGCACAGCAATTGCTATACCTATAGCAGCCACAATCTCAAAATCCTTTACATGAAAGTTTTCTCATATTTCACTTGGTGGCAACATTCAGACAGCCCTAGGTCCCCTGAGCAGCAAAGGGATGGGTGCCTGACTCATGGGAGGCCCCTTAGGATCCTCGTTTTCCCCTCAGTGTGAACACTCACATGTTTCACTGCAGAACTATTCCCATGATTTAATCCTCCAGGGCTGCACCTGACCCACACCTGCACCTGATTTGGGGGAAACAGAGTCTGCCACCCTAGAATAAACCTTTTTTTGGATATTGATTATTTTAAGCTGGCTGTTTTAAGAAACAAATGACTCAGAAGAGCCTTTTACCTCCCACTTGCCTGCCTAAAGGAATCCAGAAAGGGCGCTATCATAACCTTAGTTTTAATATGAACTCAGTGTGGCAGACAGGGAGGAACCAAGCAAAGCCTGTTTGGTAGATGACCCTCTTTGGCCCATCAAGAATTTGTTTACTGCCCTGGCTAGTGTGCCTCAGTAGATTGAGTACCAGCCTGCGAACCAAGGGGTCACCTGTTCAATTCCCAGTCAGGACACATGCCTGCGTTGTGGGCCAGGTCCCCAGTGGGGGGCACCCAAACATTGATGTTTCTCTCCCCCTCTTTCTCCCTCCCTTTCCCTTTCTCTAAAAATAAATAAATAAAATGTTTTTTAAAAAACATTTGTTTACCAAATATTTACTAGTTCTCATCTGCCTATGAGCTGCCTACCTTCCCTTTGACCTCCCAGACCTCTGCCTTCCCCTCCTTAGCCCAGAATGGCGTACACGCCCCAACTGCCCCACCTGTCCTCAGGTCTCACATTCTTATGGAACCCCTGCATATACATATACAATAAGCTTGGTTATTTTCTCCTATTAATCTCTTTCATGTCAATTTAATTGTTGGACCAGTCACAAAAAATTAAGAGGGAAAAGCAGGGAAATTTCCCCCTCCCCCACAATATCAACCTACTTACTTACCTTGGTATAAACTGAGCAAAAAAATATAGCAAAGTATTATCTACACAGAACTAGATTTTGCAGTCAGGTAAAAGTCTATGTGAAATTCATTTTCCTCCGGTGGCCGTGCCTTCTTATCTTGATTCAAATTCATCATTGTGAAAACAAATTCTCTTTCAGCAGCCCCAAGCCCTGAGCACGTCAAGTGCAGGATATGTTGACTCTTGATGTAATATTGAAAAGAAGCCTTATAATCCAGGGGTGTCGAACTCATTTTCATGGGGGCTGCTACATCAGCATTGAGGTTTCCTTCAAAGGGCCGAATGTAATTTTAGGGCTGTATAAATGTCCCTTAACTAGGGGCAAGGAGCTCCACACTGCCACCAGGTAGAAACAAGGTGCCAGGCCAGATAAAACAAGGTGGAGGGCCAGATTCGGCCCACGGGCCTTGTGTTTGCTACCTGTGTAATAAACTAATTTTACTTGTTCTCTAGCCTCTTATTTATTTCTGCTAATGTTATTTTTTATTCATCATTTCCGTGGTGGTAGAAGAATTATAAGTGGTGTTTGCTATAAAAATAAATGATTTCCAGAGCCTTAGCAGCCTGTAATTATCAGCTCTATGCAACAAACCTGGGAGGGACAACAGACTGAAGATTAAGCCTCAAATTCAATCACCCAACAATCTCGCTGAACCAGTTTTGTGGTTGAGTAGATTTGTGGGAAGCCCAACAATCTGTAGTTCTAAGAAGCCCCCAGGCGATGGTGAGGGTGGTGATGTTCCTCAGACGAGATTTCTGTTAGCGCTGGGTTAAGGTACAGCAGGGAGGGAAGACTCAAAACTAGACAGCCACTTTACAATGAAAGAAGCTTAAACATGGGATCTACACAAGACATTTGATTTGAAGATGCTAAAATTTAAGGCCCAGCTAACAGTATGTTAGAATCAGAGCTCCTTGGTTTCAGATTTATACCTGCTCTGTATAAATCTGTATTCTTAATCATATGGTATCCTGGCTAGCTAGCATATCAAAAGTCCTTTGTATCTTTTAAAGCTTAAAGTATTGCTGTGAAGTGTAACCTCTATCCTTGAAGCTATATATACAGTTGCTGCTGATGGAAAAGTTCATTTCTGTCATTTTCCTTCTATATAAAGTTTTTTAATTATTCTGTTAGACATGCATCATGATGCCTGCTATCTCTCTGTCTTCTGATCACCATCTAATTTGTGGCTCTAAGTAAATTTCTTAAAGCAATGCAAATGAGATTTCTCAACACCTCTTCTGGTGTGTCTTTCTAAAATATTGCACTTTCAAAGTTGCTAGTTAAAGAAGCAATATTTTAAAAAATAATCTGGAGCTAAAATGTAAGAAGAAATCCCACAACATGCTTTGCAACCTGTAAGGAATTAGCCCTAACAGCCCTAAACGAAGTTCTTACCTGCATAAGCTGCTGCTTCAGTTTCTGTATTTCTGAAATGTTCAGCTCACTGAATAAGTCAGAAACCGGGTGCAGAGACTCTCCTTTCCTTAAAGCGGGAGTCCGATAGTCTCCGTTCAGTTTCACAAGGGGCGCATGGATGTGCCCGTTCATTTTGTCGTCATTGTTCGGTTCACTTCCGTCCTCGGCAAACTTGAGCCCATCCACCGAGATGCTGATGTGGTTGTCGTTGAGACTGATGTACTGGGAGAGCTCTTTCCGCAGGTTGTTCTTCTGCTCCCTTTCATTTTTCAAGGTCTCCAGGGCTTCTTCCAGCTGGTGCTCAGCGATCTCCTTCAGCCGAATGGCATCTTCCAGCTGGCTGTTCAGCAGCACCGTCTCCTCCTCAAATCGCTTAATCTCGTGCTTTAAGCCTTCGTATTCGACCTGAATCAGACAGGATAGAGAAGATTCAGAAAACTAAAATTTGGGTCTTATAAAACTTCCATTAAGACCTACTCATTAAAAAAATCAAAACAGTCTACAAAATAAAAAGCACACAGTATATACACCCTTAGGGTAACACATGATGGATATTTTAGAAATTCTGTATGAATAGAAATTGAATTCTTAGCAGAGATGAAAATGTGTTTGGATTTCTTTTATGGGGTCCAATGGTCAAAAGGGGGCACTGTTGACCTAATAAAATGGATTTTTTTCTTAGTAATTTTTATCAGACTATTCACAACTAACATTTTATCATTATTAATAGTTTATTTTATTTAGTTACTAACAATGAGGTAATTTTTATACCCTGAGATAAATTAAAAGATCACAGTAAGAAAAGAATCTCAGTAAATATGTTTAAGAGTAAGACAAGGAAGCAAAAATATGTTTAAAAATAAAACAAGGAAAAAAAATTTACCTGCTTAAGTACAGAATGTGGAATAACAATACCAATTACTCAATGACAAATATACGAGGTCCAGCACAAATAATGCCCCTCTGTTATCATGTAAAAAGCCTTTACTACAAAATCATAAGCATGTAATTCTGTAACATGACAATATCACACTCAAGCACATCACATGACATTTTAGGTGAAGTGTTCAAACTGCTGTGCATCTCATGCGAGACATTCACGTACCCTACCAACCAGACTCAATGGCGTGACTTCTGCAGGACCCTGTATATATTCTAGTTATCAATATAACATTCTTTTGAATGATATCAGGTAGCCAGCACAAACACCCTCTCGGATATGAAAGCCAACAGGGAAAAGAGAGATTTCTACTCTAACCACTATGCTTTCCTTCGGGCTTTTCCATAGTACATGTCACGGGCCACTTTTCAATAAATATTTTTTATCTCCACAACTATACTGTAATCTCCCTTAAAAAGACAAGATATTTTTCATGCACCTAGGTGTGCTTCCTTGTGCTTTGATGCTTCTTCACAGTGTTTCAACAGAATTCTGTTCTGCTGAATAAGCCACTGTGAATATAAAAATAAAGTAGAAAAAATAATAATGTCATGATATGAGATACTAATATTAACTAGGTGTTTAGTTTTAAATTTAGTATTTATATTAAACATGTATTTTAAAAAACTTTAAACTAAAAGACAGAAATCATAGACTATTATCATTTTCATACATTTCAATTTCATACATTTCTAGTTCTCCCCTCCCTCCCCTTCTTCACATAATCTCAATGCAATGGTTTGTCTTGCAAGAGTTAGGATATCAGTTTTCTATCCAGTTTTAGTTAGGATGCAGGTTTGGCTGACGTGACAGAAACCTAAGTAACAGCAACTTAGTAACAAACAGAAGTTTGTTTCTCTACCACGTAACAGTATGGAGGTGGTCAGTCAAGGAGCAGTAGAAATCACTGCTCCATGAGGTCATCCAGGAACCATGTTCCTTCTGTCTTATTGCACTGTCTCCTATTTTGGTGCACACGGTCTAAGGTGGCTTACCACCCTGACCATGTTCCAAGCAGTGGAACAAAGTAAGGGGTATACCTTCTCCCTTTAGGGGTATGTCTCAAATGTTTCCCACACCACTTCTCATATCTCATTGGCCAGTACTAGCCACATGACATTTGGTGGCAAGGGAGGTAAAGAACATACTCTTTACGCGAGGTAGGTTTGTGTCCAGTTGTAAACTGGACACAACACTGGGAGGAGGGAGCAATGGATACTGATGGACAACCAACACTTACTGCTGTACAGGGTCAACGGAATGTCACAGGTCCATAATAGAAAACATTCAAAAGAGTCAAATCATAGAAATTGCTTGGGATAACAGAATCTTGTATCATGGTTTTCCAGGCCTGCTTCATCCTAACCTCCTCCTTTTCTTTCCCTGGACAATTCAGGGCACCTGCTTGCAAACCTTTGCCCATATTTCAACCAACCCCCTGAATGCCCCCAGATTGTGCGATAGCTTACATTTGCAGGCATTAATTTAGTTTGCACTATAGACATTTTATTTTGTAGCCCTTTTTTAAACTGAAAGCCTAGACCAGGGGTTTTCAGACATTACTGTGACTTCAGGACTAAATCTAGCCCACTGTGTGTTTTGGTAAATAAAGTTTTACTGAAACACAATCACACTGTTTTGTTTACATATTATCTATGGCTGCTTTTCAGTACATGGCCTGCAAAACCTAACACTTTTACTATCTAGCCTTTTTAAAAAAGGTTTGTTGACCCCTGGGCTAGACTTGATGACATTAATTTAGTGGGCTCTGTAGTTTTAAAATTCTGTGACTTTTAGTCAATTGATGATAGATTCCTCATAAGGCCCTATCTTTCTAATTTAGGCAGCTTAACCCACTCCACCTTCTGGTTCAAGTTCCTAATACTCATGCAGATGTTTTGTCTTTCCCTGCTTAGGCAAAGGCTGATATCTGGAAAACTAATTCATCCTTCAAGATCCAAGGCAAGAACCTAATCCTAGCTGTGACATCTTTGTTGACTCACTCAGGCCAAGAGATTCCTCCTTGATGGTGCCATCCTTGTAAGGATGCATCATAGGATCAGAGCCCCAGCAAACTGGATAGACCACGAAACAGTGAAAAGACACTCAAAAATTGGCATTTGATATTTTTTAAACAGCATCAAAGTAGTCACCATGAGAAAAAAAGTCAGCACTTTATTGGGAATCTTTGTAGCAACTTCCCAGTTTAGTAGCTCTTTTTATTTTTGACTACATGAGGGTTGGGAAAGGGTTACACAATCTTTTTACAGTTAGGAACTTGACAGATCTTACTATGACCTTGTTCTGCAAACCTAACAAACAGCTTTAATATGCAATTACAAGGATGGCTACGAGTTTATTACCTGCCTCCCCTACTGGGACTATAAGCTCTGTGAGTCAGTGACCATGTGACAAAGTACATGGTTTCATAGCAAGATATCCCGGAAATACTGGTTAAAGGAAATCAAACAGAATTGAACACATTGCCAAGGTCTCCTATGATATTATCACCAGATATATAGCAATAAATCCCTGGAAGAAATGTTTTTTTCTTTTTCTTTTTTTCTTTAAGATTTTATTCATTTTTAGGGAGGGGGTTGAGAGAGAGAGAGAGAGAGAGAGAGAGAGAGAGAGAGAGAGAGAGAGAGAGAAACAGAAACATCAATGTGCAGTTGCTGGGGGTTATGGCCTGCAACCCAGGAATGTACCCTGGCTGGGAATCGAACCTGGGACACTTTAGTTCCCAGCCCGCGCTCAATCCACTGAGCTATGCCAGCCAGGTTGTTTTTTTCATAATAGAAGTATTTATTTTAACAAGGGTTTCCAATGCTTAGATAACAAATATTTGGGCACTTTAGTTCACTATGTGAGATATTAAGGAAATGGAATTTATTATTTCTCCCCTCCTTCTACCATTAAAACTCTAAAAATGAAAACTAACATAATTTCCTGTTCTATGATAAGTAATACTGCAACCAGCCAAGTTTTCCTAGCCCTCGTCCCCAGTACCAACACTAGGACCAGGCATAGAAAACACAGCTGCTTACAGAGAAAACTCCCTCCTAGAAGATGAGACCCGACTAAAACAGCTTCCTCGAGACTCATGTCAAGACTCTTACTTTGTTGTACTTCTCAGCTCAAAGCTGTGTCATAAACTGTTTATCCCAACCAGTCTGCCCCAAGGCAAAACCCAGTCCAGACCCTAAAATCCTACAGACACCCTTCTCTAAGCCTCCCACTTCGAGACATTACTAAGGTTCTGTGGAGGTGGCTTCTCAGGCAAGAGGTATGACAAACAGCTTTGCTTCCTCAGTGCCTTTTTCTGGTGGGAAACTGACAGCTGACCTCTCTTTATGACTGCTGCTTCTTCCTACCCTTCTTTTTGTTTTAAAAAGCACAAAGGAAAAACATATTCATAAGGTTGGACCTGATTTCATTCTGGACACAGAACCGACTCCACACACAGAGGGATGTGGCTGAAGTTTTCAGTCAACTCTTTGATGGTCCCATATGTTTCATATTTAGGACCACACATAAAAACTGGTTTGGGCCCTGACTGGTGTGGCTCAGTGGGTTGAGTGTTGGCCTGTGAACTGAAAGGCTGCCGGTTTGATTCCCAGTCGAGGCACCTGCCTGCGTAGCGGGTCAGGTTCCCAGTTGAGGGCACATCAGAGGCAGTTCATCAATGTTTCTCCCCCTCTTTCTCCTTCCCTTCCCCCCTCTCTAAAAAATACATAAAACCTTAACTTTTTTTGGTTTGGTTAATTACAATTATTTGAAATTTTAGTTTTCCTCTCTAAGTTGAAGAGAAAATATAAGAGAAATTTTTAAAAACCAATTTTTTATTCTTTCAACAAGTGCCGATTTAATGCCTTCTACGTGTCTGGCTCTCTTCCAGGTGCTATATCGTGATGGAGGGACGGAAAAACTAACCAATATACATGGGGTACAAAGGAAGTAAGAAGTGCTATTTAAACAACAATTATTTAGAAAATAACCAATAAGGAAAAGGGAACTTCAGAAGGAAAGAACCTTTTAGCTTTTTGAACCAAGTATTTTACCATGCTAATAGCTTTGCTGTGGGCAGCAACATCAGACCAGGCCAGAGAGCATATTTTGTACAGGGAGCTTCAGTACAAAGCAACATGCAGACCAGTTTTGAGACTGAAAGCCAGCCATCATCATCTGTTTGAAAAAAAAATCTGTGGCGTAAGTTATTATACTTAATATTTCATTCATTAGAAAGAGAGTTTATGTGGGCTGGGATGGGAGTAAAAGATAGAAAATTCTACTTGAACAATAATTAAAATAAAATTATTAAAAAAAAAGAAATTGACTCACAAGGGGGAAAAAAAGAGAATTTGTGATAGATGCTAACTCCTATAAATAAAGTAGGAGGAAAGCAGGAACCCAAAGCAGCGCTTCCTTAATTGGGAGAGACTGGGGACACTGCAGTGCACCCATTTGTCAGTAGATAAACGAGAATGGTCCTTTGTATGGAAAATGATTTCAAATTTTAATTAATTGGACACTTAATTGGGAAATTACCATATTGCATCTAGGAATTAAAATTAAAGAGATGCATACATTTTCCTATTTGTTTCTCCGCCCCCCAAACTTCTGAGGTCAGCGTTTGGTTCCTGTGTTTCGATTCCTGGGGGGGAAGGGCCGGGGTAAACGGTAAACAGTAATCTGCCAGACTGACAGTACAAATTCCCACCGAAACGCCTCTGGGCTAATGAATGCTCACAGGGCACCTTGGCAATCTTTCAAGAATACCTAATACCAGCCTAAATTAACCTCCTGAGTAAATTAGTCTGCCACACGCGGTGGCTGGAGACTCTGCAGCGAGGCCGTCTCCTGCCTGGTACAGAGCGCAGTGAGGATTTTTAGGAATTACAAGTAGATGCCACTTCAAATATTTGCACTTCAAGTAAATTTGCTTCCAGCCCTCTACATACTTCATCAGAGACAAAGAAAAAACCCACAAAAAAAATACCCTTCTTATTTTAAGGAGTTTCTGAGAAGCATATTTTTTAAAAATTTCTTTTAATTCTAATTTTCCTCTGTGTGAGCTCAATGCCTCCAGCCTAATCAAGAGCTGGAACGCACATGGTACTGAGAGCCCTCCACACACAGTGATTCGGCGCTTAACAGGAGGGAACGTGGTAAAAGTATACAGCAATATGCTGGTGACCCTTTCTCAGGTTCTGAACCACCCCTGTACTCCTCAGAAGAGATCTTGCTCCTGCCACATGCCTAAGATAGGGGAGACGGCAGTGATCAGAAATTAAATTTCGATTGTATCAACACCTGGCTATTTCCTTTCCTCTCCTAATCCCCATATCTATCCAAACTAATAACAGTTTGGGATAGAGCTACCAACTGGAAAAGAAAGTAGAAGCATACATCTGGGCTGGTCCTTGAGTTCACTGGCGACAAAAATCCTACCCTATGGATTTGGTATCTCTCTAGCCTAGCACAGTACCTGGCACAGGGTATGTTGGCCTGGCCTGGGAGGTTATAACAGTGCCTAGACCAGAGTAAAGGTTGTGGCTGAGGAAGTACCTTGGAAAGATCGTGAACATATAATTCACCTCTGCTTAACTACTTGATAAAACTGTATTCATAAATAAGTTCTTCTAAAATTACAGATTCAAGAATACTATTACTAGTAATGGTAACAAATCAAATGCAAATCCATCAGGAATATTAAGCAATTAAACTAAGTCTCACTACCAAAAAAAATTAATAAAATATACATTTGCAATCTTTTCAGTTAGGTTACAGCTGAAAAAAGAAATTAAGCATTTTCTTTTTCTTATAATTTTGTTGTTAGTGATTTAGATTTCATAATACCTTTCCATATATGATGTAAAAGCAACTGAGGGGGTGGGGAAAAAGAGACAGAGAGAGATTGGCAGTGATTGCAGGGAGACCTTAAGCTTATAGTACAAAACACACTTATAGATCCAGGCTTTTAATATGCTGTCAGGTTAAGTTGATTATAATACGTAAGACTTGCTCCTGAAATCAATTAACATAGAGCCAATGTATAAACTAAAATTTTTCTTATCCAGTGAAGCTTTATTATAAATTATACTTCTATTAGATTTGCCTTCTAAGTGTTAGCTAATATAGAAGGGTTGGAAAATTTCTTAACTAAAATAAGAGGATTGAGAAATTTCAGCATACAAATACTGTAGGGAGATTAAGGCAAATTTTGACAGGTTCCTTCCTGAGAAATACAGAGAAGATTTAACCTTGGTGGTCAGAAGGCACGGTCCATCTGGAGTGTAACCAAATAACTCCTTAAACCTCACCTGGTTCTGCTTTAACGTGGACACAAGTTTCTGCAGCGTTATGTTTTCTTCTTCCAGTTCAGTATAGTCCTGAAGGAGGCGGGCCTCTCGGAATTTGTACTCTCGAATCTCATCCTTCATCCGTATTCTCTGCAGCTCCACCATTTCATTGTTCTGAAACCATATAATAAACCATCAATACAAAACTTTCTTATTCTAGACACTATGAAGTGTAGATAAAGTGTGAGTAGTTAAAAATAGCCATGTGTCCCTTAACAACGGTGATACATTTTGAGAAACGAGTCTTTAGGCAATTTCTTCATTGTATGAACATCACAGAGTGCACTCACACACACCTAGATGGTCCAGCCCACTACACACCTGGGCTCTGTGGTACAGCCCAGTGCTCCCAGGCTACGAGTCTGTACAGCATGTTACTGCACAAAACAACTCAAGATTAAATCACAAGAGAAAATGATGCAATGAAGAGAGATAGTAAATACAAGATGTCTGAGGCTGCTGCCAACATAACATGGAATACTGCCTTAGAGCAAATTTTTTAATAAGTAGGAAGAGTAGACTCTAAAATAATGATTAAGATTATCTTATAGTAAATACATAAACCAGTAACATTTGTTTATTATCACTATCAAGTACGTACTGTACATAATTGTATGTGCTCTACTTTTATGTGATTTGTAGTGCAGTTGGTTTGTCTATACCAGCATCACCAGAAACACACGAGTAATGTGTTATCCTACTATGTTAGGACTGCTCTGATATCACTAGGTAATAGATTTTTTTCAGCTCTGTTATAATCTGAAAGAACCACTATCACATATGTGGTCCATCATTTACCAAAATGTTGTTAGTGGCACATAACCGTACCATCATTTCAAAGCAAAGACGATATTTCAAAGCACCTGCAAGAACTGAGATGTGGTATGAAACACTGACCACAAAGTCCCAGATGCTGCTAATACTGCTGAGGTGTGTTGCTTATATTCAAATGGAAGAAAGTGCTAAATTTCTGTCAAAGTTGAGTGAAAACAGAGATATTATTTTTCCCATCCAAGTTTCCCATCCTGATTCTATCCATAGACTCAGATTAGAAAAGTCTGTTGCTTCTACTTGTCATTTAAACTCAGTTCAAATGTAATCTTCTCAGAGACCTTCCCTAAACAGCTAACAGGAGACAGCTCCCCTCTTTTACCCACCATCACCCTATGACTTACTTTACAGATCAGCACCTAGCAGGGAGTAGATACTCAAAAAATAATTGTTGAAGGAATAGTACTGATCATTACTTGAAACTGGTTATGTACTTACCTTTTATACTTTTAACATTTATTAAATTTCCTTTTTCATCTGAGTATAGCAAACCTTTCTGTAATGTTTGTTAATGTGTCTGAATTTCTAGCATATTTTAGGCTCACATAACCATGGAAAGAATAGCCAAACAGTCATACAAATGGCTAAACACAAAATTTTAACAAGGATATTATTACACGGATGGTGGCTTTTTGTCTTATGTAGTTTCAGAGTGGGGAACAAAGGGAGAGTAACACACTTGGAAATAAAACATGACTAAATCTGTGAAAAAACTAGACACACGACTCCATTACATAGTACAGTGACATGGCGGCAGGAACATTACTTTATGCCCTGCTCCCTTGACAATACTTTGGGCACTCTATGTTCAAAAAGTGTAAAATTTAAAAATGGTACATTTTGGCAATAAAGCCAAATTACAAAAATCCATTAAGTTCTTTCATTTTGCAGAAGCATGAAACCTTAATCCATTTCTACTTCTTCAAAGATCTACCATAACAGTGATATATATATTTTTCCTTAGATATATATAAAGATATAAGGAAGCCTGATAAACTGGATGCCAGTAATTTATATAAAATTATAAAGAAAATGGCTCTGGTTGGTGTGGCTCAGTGGATTGAGGGCTGGCCTGCAAACCAAAGGGTCGCCAGTTCAATTCCCAGTCAGGGCACACGCTGGGTTGTGGCCAGGTCCCCAGTGTGGGGTGTGCACCAGAGGAACTGCACATTGATGTTTCTCTCCCTCTTTCCCCCTCCCTTCTCCTCTAAAAATAAATAAATAAAATCTTAAAAAAAAAAACAAACGAAAGTGTTAAGATACAAGAGATTTTGTGTATACTTTGTAAAAAATGTAATGACCAGAAATCTAGCTTGTATACAGTGAAAATTAGCTATAAATTTTTATGTAGTAAGACAGTAAATGTCAAGATAATTTTAAGGCCACAGCAAAGCAAATGAGAATCACTAATAAATAATAAAATAGCTAAAGAAAACTCCTGATGCTAATTAATGAAAAGCCTGGCTGTGAAACTGATTAAGTTGAAAGACCGGCTGGCAAGAAAAAAGACATAAAACCCAAAGAAAGAAAACTGGACTTATTTATTTTGCTAGAAATCCTTGTTTTGAACTGCCACGGATTAAATTCTATGGACAATGTTCTTTGCTTCCATAATAAACTTGAAAAATTCCTCCTGATGTTTTTTTGCACCACTCATCAGAGATTTATGTAACACAATTTTTTTCTTCCTGGGATAACATGGTGCTGAACTCTACTAAAAACTTCCATCAAGAATAGGGAAAGTGACTAAACACCAGTGAGAATGGCCATCATAAACAAGTCAACAAACAACAAGCGCTGGAGAGGTTGTGGAGGAAAGGGAACCCTAGTGCACTGTTGGTGGAATGCAAATGGGTGCAGTCACTGTGGAAAACAGTATGGAACTTCCTCAGAAAACTAAAAATGGAACTACCTTTTGACCCGGCAATGCCACTGCTGGGATCATACCCTAAGAATCCTGAAACACCAATTCAAAAGAACCTGTGCACCCCAATGTTCATAGCAGCACAATTTACAATAGCCAAGGGCTGGAAGCAACCTAAGTGCCCGTCAGTAAATGAGTGGATAAAAAAACTGGCACATTCACACAATGGAATGCTATGAAGCAGAAATAAAGAAGGAACTTCTACCCTTCTCAACAGCATGGACAGATCTGGAGAGCATTATGCTAAGTGAAATAAACCAAGTGGTGAAAGACAAATGCCATATGATATCACTTATAAGCGGAACTTACCCAAGCAAACAAGTGAACAAAACAGAACCAGAGACATGGAAATAAAGATCAAACTGACAGCGACCAGAGGGGTGGGGACGGGGGTAACAGGGGAAAGAAGGGGAAGGGTCAAGTCAAGGAACATGTATATAAAGGACCCATGGACAAGGACAATGGGGGAGGTGCGACTGAAAGTGGAAGGGTGGGTGGGCAGAGCAGGGGCGAGCAATGGGGTAAAAATGGGGACAACTGTAAATTGAACAACAATAAAAACTTAAAAAAATTAAGTAAGTTTAGAAAAAAAAGTGAGAGTGAGAAAAATAAAGCATGAGAGAAAGGGGAGAAAATGGCACAACCAGGGATGGCTTTAGCCTTTGCCCGTCACCTCCAGAGACCTGAGCCGTCACCTCCAGAGACCTGAGCCGTGGCTCCTGCTCAGTGGGGGGGGGGACTACCCTGAAATGTGTGGGAGGGACTGTCCTCATTATTTGCATTGCCCCTAAGTATGGCAGCATGCCTAAAATTTTATTTTAATTAACATGAAAAGGATTTCTTTAGGTAGGAATAATAAATTCTGTCTACCGTCAAGAAGAAAACATAAACATGAACACTTGTTATCACACACAGAATAATGTATACAAATAATAATGCCTTACAGCTACATGGCTCTTAGTCTTTTAGAAATGCATTATATTCATTGCCACATTAGATCTTAATATTGTAATAGCTTGTGCAAGGTACGTGACAGACATTTCAGTTTACTCATCTGTAAAATATGGGGATCCTAATACTTAACATTGTATAGTCAATGTAAGGATTGAATGACAATATACAGGGAAATGAGCAGGGAAGCCAGACATGCAGAATTTATCGTAACACACAGTTTATTGGGACAGAACAAGTGTTGTTACAAAGGTTCACACCAAACCTTTATCGACAGCCTGGGAGAGGCAGGGAAAGCTGAGCCATCAATAGCCTGGGAGAGGCAGGGAAAGCTTTATAAAGCAAGTTCATTTGAGCAGAACTTTGAAGGGCAAGTAGAGTTAACTAAATGGATGAAGAGGAGTACAGACTGTCTGGCCAGAGGTCAGCTTTGGGCACCTCTGAGTCCTATTTGTGTTGAGGGTAGTGCTAAAATACCCAAAAGTCAGACTGAGCATTTTCTTGGGGCACCAATGAAGCTGGAGCACTGACTGAAAGAATAGAGAGAAATTCAAAAAAATCTAGAGCATTGCAAATGATTTTCAGTTTATGCCTAAATTTGGTGTGGTTTCATACACTACCATGTCAAATTACAGATGAGTGTTGTTAAACTAGGGGCCAGTGGGAGGAACCAAAATGTGTTCAGGGCTTGGAACCTTTCAAGTCCTCAGCTTGGCTGCGGTTTAGGAACGATGCAGTCTCATGTGGTTGGAACAAAGTAACTTGAGACAGATTTTGCAGGAAATTCTATGTTAAAGAAAGGAATTTGGGAAAGCAGAAAAGTCTGTGGAGGAAAGCAGCCATGTGATCAGACCTACATTTTGGCAAGTGACTCTGCTGAGGGCCGGGAGGAGGGAGCTGTAAGAAAACAGAGCCGCAGAGAACAAGCTAAGTAGTGGCTCCAACAGCCTAAAGTAAAAGAAAATGATGAGGAACGTTGCGGAACATCTCAGTTAGAAGGAACAGGACTCAGTCCTTGATTGATGATAATAAACAAAAAGTGCAAAAACGATGGCCTTAGTAAGGATAAAAGTGCCTGAATAGATTAGTAATACAAAGAGAAATTTTCCAACTAAGTGAATGTGACCGTCAATTATGTCTTTATAAATAATTATATGTAATATTAACTTGATAGTCAAACCAGACATTTCTGGATCTGTGATTGCATGAAGGAAGACAGCAACTCTGGTCCAAGCGGAGAACGTTGGAGAGAGGAAAGGATGGGGAATGTGGTACTGGCTTTCTCACTTCTCTCCCGGAAAGTCGCCACTACGAGGGAATTCAGACAGTTCAAGACCGTAACGTTTACCTTCCTTCACTTGGCCAAAAATTAACACTTGGCTTGTGGAAGAGAGGAGGGGACAATAAT